TATGCACAACCTTGGAACAACAGTGCTCTGGGATACAGGGATTGAGGCATGGTTGGAATGGGTAAATGGGGGGAAATAATGTTAAGATGCTTGGATGTCTTTTGAATCTTAGTTTCCCTTGCACACCATTATAAAATAGACACTTGAGGGGGTGATAGGAATAGTCAGAAATATCACCACAGAAAGCTTGTAAGTCCATCTTCAGCCTATAATTGATTGGAAGGCCTAAAATGGGGCTACAGCATGTCCAGTGAAGTAGGCTTCCTGCAGAGCCTCTGAATTACATAAGACCATAGGTGGAATCCTGAACCACATCCAGAATCTTCTGAGGTGGGAAATTTCCACTTGCAAGGACAAGCGGACCAGCCTGGAGCGGCTAAAAGAACAGAAGATATTTCTTGAAAGAAAGACCGACAGGGGAAAACAACAACAACAACAACAAATAACAAGAACAGCAGTCCAACCGACTACTACAATAACATGCAAGTTGCTTGCCCAGGAGACATGAAGCCAAGTGGTCAGGTCCCCTCAGGGCAAAACCCTTTCCAAGACTAAGACTCAAGGGGAATACACAAGCAGACATGCACTCTGACTGGTGACCACGTTAGTCACTGATAAGAAGTGAGGAAAAAAATAACAATGAAGCTGCGAAAGCTAAGTCTTACCACATTCAACAGACGCCTGTGAACCAGGGTGGAGACCTGGTTGGCCAGCAGTGTGGGAAGACCTGGGGACTCCAGGGCCCAGAGTCAGTGACACAGCCACAGAGGACTAGAGTGGAGAGTGAAGTGTCCAGCTGATAAGAAGTGAGGGGAAATGCACAAGAACACCTACACTTGCAGATAATACCCACTTGACCTGACTTCAATGACTGGGTGATGAGAAGAACTCAACTAGAAGAAAGAAGAGGGGAAAAAAGAGAAATCTGATACAATTTGATGAACGTGACATTGTATGGATGCAGTAGCTCAAAAAAGGGAACAAATCTTTACAGCAAGGATCATTCCCACCCCCTCCATACAAAGGGTAGACAGGGATGGGCAACTTGGACATTGGGTACTCAAAATGGGGGGTGGGGGGTGTCTACAAAGGCAGGAAGTGATTGGCTTACAAGCTTTCAAAAGGGAGCCTAGATCCAGAGGGCGCGGAGGAAGGTAGAATCTCCACTGAGTAGTATGCAATCTGTCTGGGCGGGGCTGATGAAAGGAGATGGGGATAGGACTCTTGTGGTACAATAGTGAATAATTGCTATCAGGGCTGATTGTGAGGGTTGGAAATTTAAAGGTAGATGTTTTGTAGCAAAAGGAGAGCAGTGGCTGACTTTGCAGTCCAGGAGCAGAGGTCCCTGGGACCATTAAGGGAAAACAGTGGAGTGTGCGACCCTACCCAGAGAAACAGTGATGCCAGAGATGGAGGCAGAGACGATGACATGGAGAGATGGAGTGGCTGGGGACTCTAGACCTAGAGAGGGAGAGGGGATGTGTGCTGACAACAGAGGGGCAGACTTGCGGCATATATCCTTTGGTTGGTTGATGATGCATGGAGGGGATTGTAACCATGGCAATGAAACGATATAAGATAGGATAAATGTAAAGCTAATATTATCCCATGTAAACTATTACATAATTCACAATTTTGTTGTAGTTATGTGCCGTGGAGTCGGTTCCGACTCATAGCGACCCTGTACAGGGTTTCCGAGGCTGTAAATCTTTACAGGAACAGAAAGCCTCATCTTTCTCTCGCGGAACAACTGGTAGTTTCGAAAGGCTGACCATGAGATTAGCAGCCTGATTCGTAACCACTATGCTACCAGAGCTCCTTATAGTTCACAATAAAACACTTAAAAAAAAATAAGAATGCTAAAATAACCATCGGCTGCTAGAACAAACAAATCTATCTTGGAAGAAATACTGCCCGAATCCTCCTTAGAAGCAAGGATGGCAAGACTTTATCTCATGTACTCTGGACATATTATCATGTGGGACTAGTCCCTGGAAAAGGGCATCATGCATGGTACAATAGAGGATCAATAAAAGAGACAAGGACCTTCACCAAGATGGATTGGCACAGTGGCTACACTATGGACTCATACAGAGCAATGATTGTTGAGGATGGCCTAGGACTGGCAGTGTTTTGTTTTGTTGTGCATAGGATCTCTCTGAACTGATACAGTGGCACCTAACAAAAACAATGTTAAAAACTGTAATTTTCAGATTCTAGGCATGGATCCCATGTTAAAATGAAAAAATCTGACCTTTCAAAGCTCAATTTATTTCTTATTTGGCCTATTTTTCTGCTAAGTACAAGACCTTGGAAGAGTTAGAGAATGTCATAAAAGTTAAGGCTGTAAAGTCATAATAGAGAATGACCTGACAATCTTCCTTGACACACATACATCCAGTCTTTACTTCTGAATCTTGATGACGTGGAAATTTTCTGCAAAAGACCTGGATTAAAATTGTGGTGGGGGTGGCTATGTGCCGTGGAGTCAATTAAGACTCATAGCAACCCTGTATATGGTTTCTGAGGCTGTATATCTTACAGGAGCAGAAAGCCTCATCTTTCTCCCACTGGATTAAATTACAAACTGCAAAATTTCAGCATTATAGATGATGCTCCTTATTGTCTTCTCCACTGAAAACAGGTTGGAAATTAAAGGAAAATGGTTAAATGGTTCTGCCTACAAAGAAAACGTAATTATTCATTTAAAACCTACTTAAATAAACTCTTTACATTGAACATTTTTCCCTCCACAAATTAAGGTTGAGTTAGTATGAGACAAGCTGAGTCCTCTCTATTCCTAATTTTACCAGATGGTCTATTTCTGAACTATCATTGTAAGGATGCACTGAGTGATCCCTACACTTTTCTTTTACTTAAAACCATGCGATAAAGTCTGGAAGCATCTATACATTAGTGTGTGTGTGTGTAAATAAACAGATAAAAGTGCTCCATCAATGAAGAATTTTGTACAGAGGAAAATTATGGTTTTTAAAAATGGATATGGTAGATTTAAAGCAATTTATGTAACATTTCTGTTTCCCCAAAGAGCAAACAGAACTTGTGAGATGTATAATCCTGCCTCCAAATGCCTCAAACATACACGAAGTTAATCCTTTTCTATAGAAATGAAGAACAGTTTAAAGAAAGGTTCAAAAACTTTCAAGCTCAGACCTAAAAGACAGACACTCACTAGTCGATCTCTGTCATTTTGGAGTGATGACATGGCTTTTTTTAAACTCTGTACTTCAGGTGGGCTGGCTGCATGTGGGGCTGCGGACCACTGCTTCCCCTCCTCTGACTTGCGGAATCTGTCCAGCTCATTCAGTAAGTGATCTCTCTCATTCTGCAAATTGGCCATAGCCTTGGAATAAGAATCCACTTGGCTGTATGAATCCTCTAGTTGTGAGGATAAGTGAAGCAGTTGTTCATCTTTGGATAGGAGCTGTTGGTTAAGTTTCTCAAGGTGAGACAAGCTGTTATACTCAGTGGAGCTCTTTGGAAAGGCAGCTGTAGAAACAAAAACCTCTCTCTCTATGCTTAGGAGGCCCTGTTTTTCTTTCAGCTGGGCCAATTCCTTCAGACTGGCTTCATATTTCCTTTTCAGTTCATCGAGCTCCTCATTGGCATGATCTCTACTATTCTGCAGGGAATTCATAGACTTTCCAAACGACTGAATTTGTGCTGTGAGATCTTTATTTTCTTTGGTGACCACAAGTAACTTCTGTTCCATCTCTATCAAATCTCGTGCTAGTTCTGCCACCCTCTCTTCTGCTGTTTCAGTTTCATTTCGCATTATCCCTGCATCATGGTGAAGATACTTTAATTCTTTCTTCAGTTTATCTTCAATTTCATCTACCTTCTTAGTTGCTTCCTTCTGAACATGAACCAATTCTTTTTCCAGTTCTGTGATTCTGTTCTGAGAGTAGGAAAGGGTAGTACTTAATTTCTGTACTTCTTCTTCCTTTACTTTTAATTGAGCTTGAACTATTCCTAGAGTACCTTCTTCTTGCAGAGCTATTAACTGTCCCTTTAGTTGGGATATAGTTATTTTCAATCTCTCAATCTCTTTAGATAAACCTTGCTTCTCCTCTTGTAGGGCATCAAAGGACCTCTGCATATCCTCCTTTGCATCCTCAGATTCCTTCAGCTTTTTGTCTAATTTAGCATATTCACTTTTCAGCTCCTTATTCTGCTGAAGTTGAGCTTCAAGGAGTTGTTTTTGCTGACAGTCCTTTATCGATATCACTTGGTTCAGGTCTTCTCTATATTGAATCAATTCTGCATCTAGCTTGGCATTCTCAGAATTTAGGTCATCCATATGACTTCTCAAGGATCTAATTTCTTCCTTAAGCTTATTATTCTCAGTAGCAGCATCTTGGATGACTTGGTCTTTCTCTAAGATTACGGAAAGATGTCTTTCTTCCAGCTGCTGATAGTCACCTACTATACGATCTCTGTCATCTTGCAGAGAAGACATGGATTTAACAAAAGAGTCCAATTGAGCCTTCTGCTGAATGCTTTCCTTTCTGATGGTGTTCAGCGTTTCCATAAGCTGACTGGTTTTGTCAACAGTTTTTTTATTGTCTTGTTCCTTACAGAACAACTTATTTTCCAATTCTTTAATTTCTTTATCGTGTTGCTGATGCAGCTCCGAAATAGCTACCTGGATTGCCTCTTCTTTGGAAGAAAGTAGGCTTATAATCTTCTGCTCTTTCATGTTTATTTCTTCATGTAGCCTACTGGTCAGTTCCCTGGAGGCCTGAAGATCAGTGTCTAGTTGTTCATAACTGAATTTATAATGTTGTATATCAGCTTCTTGCTGTTTTACAATCACTTCCAAGTTTTCTTTGCTTTCATTACATTTTTCTAAAGAGCTATTTAAATCAGTCGACTGGTCTCGGAGGGTCTTAAGTTCTGATTCCAACTTAGCTAGTTCATTCTGAGAGTTGTGGTACAGATACCGAATCTCTTCAAGCTGCGTCAAAAGTTCTTTGTTTTCCCCCTGTAGAGTATCACAGACCTTCTGTTGAAGTTGAACCTCTGTCTGGGCCTTGGTCTCCCAAGCCTGCTTGTCATGTTCAAGCCTAAAAAACAAAGAGCATTAATGAAAAAACTACCTGGTATCTAAAGAACAAATATTACATAATAGACCTACAAGGGATCCCATATTTTATGGATTTCCTTAACACTCAGATACTTTCGCAAAATTGAAAGTGTTCATCTTTTTAAAACTGAGATATTCATTCTCTGTATTATAGACTTGTCTTCTGAATTTTCCATATTAAAAGTACACTGAACCTAAAGATTCATATTTAAATAATGAACTCTATATATTACTTACTTTGGTGACATGGTTTTTTATTCTCTTAAAAGTAACACTTTCTCTTATTTTGCTTTCTATACTTTGCTTAAGACAATGTCTGGCCCTTTATGGAATAATGTTGGTATGAGAGTTAGGAAATCGAATAGAAGAACTGAGGGATTCTATTAGAAGAAGCGGAGGCATACAAAGGGTGGGTGGTATTGTTGGTTAATGAGCTTCAAAGCATATTATAAAAGTGAAGTCTGAGGAAAATAAATCTTAACAGGAATATTCAGTAAGAATTAATGTGAAATACAGAGAAGAGAAAAGACCATTTAAGAGGCTACAGTAATAATTGGGGAATACTGTTTAAAAAATCTTGATAATAGTGAAAGGAAGAAATCTAAGATTTCTCAGAAGAAAAATAGGAAGAGAAGCAGATGTGAATTCTTCATGTTAATACAAGTTGTTGTTGTTTAGTACCACAGAGTCGGTTTCAACTTGTAGCGACTGTGTATAGGGTTCCGAGGAGCAAGTGGTGAGTTTGAACTGTTGACCCTGTAGTGCAAACCGACCTTGCGGTCCAGTGCTTATCCTACAGCACCACACCAAGACTCCACAGTAAGCAGTTATTTGACAAGGGGTGGGGGAAGAAAGGGGTGGAAAGTGAAAGATAATAGACCTTCTAAGGAAATTTAAGCCAAAATTACTTAGAAAAATAGCTTAAATAGAGACCTTCTTTTCTTCATTTACCTGGAAATGTTAATCTTCAGTTCCTCCATATGGATGGACATCTGCCTAAGCTGATCTTTTAGAACACTGCAGTTCTCCTCTTTGAGTCTAAGTTCATCTTCTTTGATTTGGATGGCATCAATGAACTTCCTCTCCCATTTTTTGGCTTCATCTATCACCCTGTCTCGATCATCCTGGAGGGAAGACATGCTCTTAGTGAAGGCTGCAAGCTGGGCCACAGTACTGTCCAGGTTTTCCTGAAGTTGTTTAACTTCTGTGTCCTTTTTGTTCCAAGTAGCCCGCATTTCTCCAAAAGTCTCTTCCAAGTGGTCTTTTTCTCTGCGCAAAGCATCCAGTTTCTCTTGCATATTCTTCTGCTCTTTCAGGTGTTTATCTTCTGCCTGCTCCAGTCTTCGCTCCAGATCATCATCCTTTTGTTTCATTTGGCTTTTAACTAATTCTTTATTGGTCTGAAGTTCCTTCTTCAGCTTAAGGTTGTCTGCTAGGACCCGAGCTGCTTCACTTTGAGTGTCATCCAGAAATACTCTGAAGCTAGCTAATTCTGCTTGTGCCTTCTTACGCAATTCATCAGCTCGAGCCAGATTTTCTTTGCTTATTTCCAAGTCTTTTTGGGACTCAGACTGAACGAATTCTAAGGCCTTAACAGTTCTTTCCAGAGCACTAATTTTCTCTTGATACCTGATGCAGTCCTTCTGCAACTGCTTAACTTCTTGCTGTTTTTCCTTTAACAGCTCCTGAAGTTCCTTCACATGGCTTTTATTGCTAGATCCTTTCTGGGCACCTTGTATTTTCTCCAAATATTCTTTTCGTATTTCTGATTCCACTTTAGTTTTTTCCTTGACTAACAGCTGCTTTTCTTCTTCCAGTTCACTCACACACTTTTTAAGATTTTGCATTTCAGATTCTAGTTGCTCATTTTTTATTTGGGCATCTGTGATATCCTGATAATAATTCCCAATGCTTCCATTAAGTTCTGCTAACTGATTCATAAGCCTCTCTTCCAAATCATCCTTCTCTTCTTCTGCGGTCTCCTTTAATTTGGTAGCTCTGGACAATTCTTCTTGGATTTGCTGATTTAACAAGTTTATTTTGGTTACTTCTTCCTGAAGTATTTGAAGTTCACCATTCTTTGAAAATACTTGATTCAGTAAGGTATTTCTCTCATTTTCCAGTGCCTGACTGATTTCCTTGATTTCATGCTTCTCCTTCTCTAACTCAGCAATTTTTCCTTTGAGCTCATCAATCTGCTGTAGGTAGTTCTTAATTTCACAACGTGAGCTGATATTCTCACTTAGGTCAGGATTGCTCTTGGCACTTTTCTCTAACACAATGGATTCTGTATGTTCAGGCCTTGTACTTACACTCAGAGAGTCTTTCTCTTTTGCTTCAACAAACACAGACTGTGTTGTCTCAACAATATTATGCATTTGGTTATCGTGTTTCTTAGTGGCTTCTAGCCTAGCTGGTTTGGAAACATTCTCTTCTATCTGATGCTTTAAATCTTGAACCTCTTGATTTATAAGGTTCTTTTCAGTCATTAAAGCCTCAAACTCCTTAGAAAGGGCTTTATATTCTATTTTGACCCTTTCTAGCTCCTCCTTCATGTTGGAATTGGAAGAAAGAAGTGCTTCCATATTTTCTTTAGATGTATGTCCTGCAGGGTGAATCTCTGCTTCTGCTCTTAGTCGGTCATTTTCTTCTTCTAGCTCTAGGATTTTCTGCTGCTTAGATTTAGGAAACTTTCTCATCTTTTCTTTCATCTCCTCCATCTCCTGTTCAGCTTCCTGCAACTGCTTTTCTGTCTCTTTCTTGCTTGTTTCTGTGCTTCTCAACTTGCCATATAGTTCTTGCTTCTCTTGCCGCACAGCTTCCACCACATGCTGAATTCTTTCTGCCTCATTACTAACATTCTCATAGGACTGCAGAAGAATTTCATACTCTTTTTGTAGTTCTTTGTGTTTCTCTTGCAATTCAGTGTTTTCTGCAATCTGAGAACATTTCAATGATTCAATGTCCTTCATTAAGTTTTCCTTATCTTCAGTAAGACCCTCCAGAGCTAGTTTCAAACTTTCACAAGAGCCACTGAGACTTTGATTTTCCAATAAAGACTTGTCCATTTCTGCAATAAGTTTGTCTCGCTCTTCCTGAAGAAAAGCGAACCTTTCTGAAAATGTCTCTTTTTCTTTATTTTGAGCAGAAACCTGGCTTTCTACATCTGCCAAAGACTTGGTAAGACATTCAATGCTATCTCTGGCCAAAGACAACTCCTCTTGGAGGTCTTTGTTTGCTTTTAGTGCTTCTTTTCGGGAAATAAGAGCAGCCTGCAGTTTCCTCTGTATCTGTTGCTTTGCTTTACCTTCTTTTTCACTTTCTTTTGTTTTTTGCTCTGTCTCACCAAGCTCCACCTGTAACTGCTTTATCTTCTCATCATATTCTTTGGCTTGCATTTCCAGTTGTATATGTAAAGCCTTAATTAATTCCTCTTGTTCTATTGTCTCTGTCTGCATTTTGGTAAAGATTTTGTGTTTCTCACTAAGCTGAGCAGAAAGGTAGCTCACTTCTTCTTCCTTTTTGCTTATGAGTTTTTGCAGTTCGTCTAGTGCAGGCTGTAATTCTCTGAGATGCTCTAATCTAACAATTTCTAGTTGACTGCTTTCCAGTGTCAGCTTCAAGCTTTCTACAGAGGCTTCAGCTTCACTGGTCGCTGTCTTCAGACTCTGGATCTCTAAATCCTGTTTATCAATCTGCTCTTGTAATTGAAATATCTCATCTGATTTTTTAGTAAGCTCATTTGTAGTAGAACTAACCTTCAATTCTAACTCCTCTTTCTCAGCCTCTATTTCTTTCAGTTGGGCCTTAATCTGGTCAATAGTAGTGTTACTCTGAATAGCATTTGCATCTCCAGGTTGAGACGGCATGTCTGGGCTCAAGTAGGACTCTGAAATAGGTTTAGCAACTTGCTGCTCTGTGGCTTTGTACAAAGGATCCTCTAAACCTTGAGTGGAAGAGCTTGATTCCTCCTGGTCAGTGACACACTTTCTGTCTAAGGAGTCCCTTACTTCAATCTGGAGTTGTCTTAGTTGTTCTCCAATGTTCTCCTTTTCCTTACTTTGTTCATTAAATTGTTCTTGCAAGTGATTATAGTCATCTTTCTGTTGCTTGAGCTCCTCCTTAAAATTTCTTTCTTTCTCTTGTGCCTTTTTGAGAATCACCTTGCGTGAGACTAACACTTCCTGTAGTTTCTTTTGAAGCTGTTCCTTTTCTTTTTCAAGGTTCAGTATCTTTTCCTCCAGTTCTGGTTTCCATTGTTCTCCGCTACCTGTATCAGATGAATTGATTGTCACAATTTCTTTTACAGGTGCTGCTGAGTCTCCATCACCTGAATCCTTATTACCTGTGGTTAAATTATGAATAACTGCTTGGTTTTCTGTGATTTGCACTTGAAGCAAGTCTATTAGGTCTGTCTTATCTTGCAAGTTCTGATTAATCTGTTTGACCATAGCCTGTAACTGCTTTTCAGCTGCCATCTTTTCTTCCAAATCCTTCCTTACATACTCTAGTTCTTCTTCCTTTTCAGATATTGTCTGCTTTAAATACATTTCTATTTCGTGGCATTTGGAACTCATACATTTTTCTGACTTTTCTTTGTTCTCTTTATCTTCTTCCATTTCCCTGTTCTCGCTTGCACTGTGTGGGACCTCTTTCCTAGATTCATCTCTCACTTTGGCTAATTCTTCTTCTAGTCTACTGACTTTTTGAAGAAGTTCCTTTCTATTAATAAGAGCCGCCTGGAGTTTTCTCTTTCTCTGCTCACTTTCTTTCTTTATTAGGTCTAATTCATGTTGAAGTTCTTCTTTACTTATTAGCCCTGTTGGACTCAACTCATCATAATTATGTTTAAGACCACCTTTATCTTCTTCTACTTGCTCTTTTTTTGCTTCTTCAGCTTTAGATAGTAAATTCAGCTGTTCTTTAAGAGTTTTAATTTCAACCCCAAGAGAAAACTTCTCTTCATTAAGCTGAACCATCTTCTCACTCATACTAAAGCTGATTTCTGTTACTTGCTGATCCTTCTCCTTGATGGTTTGTTGAAGGGTTTCCACATCCTTCTTTTTCTCTAATAAAACTTGATCCAGTTTTGCTATTTCAAGTTCCTTCTGTGAAAGAGCATGTAAAAGTTCTTCCATCTTATTTGAAATAGCCCTTAAACGTTCCTCCCCCTCAAGTACTTCATTTTCCTTCTTTTGCAGCTGGCTCTGCAGGTTTTTAATCAGTGTACTCTGTTCAGAGAACTGAAGCTGCATACCATCTAGTTCATTCTGTAGCGCTTCAATTTTCACATCTTTGGATTTGGCTTCTATGTTAAGACTGTGGATCTGTTCAGTAAGTAAGTTGTGATGAGCAGTCTGGCTTTCATACTCTAGTCGTCTTTGCTTTTCGGCTTCTGTGAGATTTGCTTCTAGTTGTTGTATCTGAGCCCTCAGTTCTGTTATTACACTAAGTTCCTTTACCTGGGAAAGAAGCTGGTCTCTTTCTTCAGACAAAGCAGAGAATGCACTGCTTGTATTTTCAGCATTTTTCTTAAACTCCTCAATCAGCTGTGTCAGCTTCCTTATTTCCATAGTTTTCTCATCTAAATTTTTCTCATAGTTTTCTTCTGCTTTATGAAAGTTTATCTCAAGCTCCGAAACTTGACTTTTTAACCTTGTCAGCTCATCCTGCTGACATTGATTAATATCTGGTACTACAGAAAGGGATTGATCAACAGCATCCTGCTTTGCTGATTTCAATGCTATTTCAGAGTCACTACAAGGCATTTCCTCAGATGTTCTATTTTGATGCTTTTCTTTCTCAATTGCTGGAAGACTGCTCTCTTCATTTGACATTAAAGGGAAATCCTGCCCTGTTCCTTCACTGTCTGTTGGTTTCATTTCTTTCTGGCCAAGGTCCTGCGGGTCCCTCTCAGTCAGTTTGCCCTGTAATTGCATCTTAAGAAATGCAATCTCCTCTTGAGCTTCTTTCATTTCCGATAGTAAAACTGATAATTCTTTATGTTTCTGGGAAAATGTATTCTCTAAGATATCTTGCCCACTTTCCTCAGTAGAAGAGCTGCTGTTGTTAAGCCTGGTATTATCACTCATGCACACCTATTGAAAAAAAAAAAAGAATCTCAATCAGTTATTTTATAGCCTAACTAAAAGCTATTATTTTACACACTGCTAATCCTGAAAAATTGCAGTCCAAGCCTCTACCTTCTGATCAAATTACAATTTTTAAAATGGGTCGAGTCGGTTCCGACCCATAGCGACCCTGTACAGGGTTTCCGAGGGTGTAAATCTTTATGGGAGTAGAAAGCCTCACCTTTCTCCTGCGGAGCAGCTGGTAGTTTCGAACCGCTGACCTTAAGGTTCGCAGCCCAATTCGTAACCACTACGCTACCAGAGCTCCTTCAACAACAACAACAAGAACAATCCTGATCAAATTACAATTTTTAAAATGTGTTTTGATTTCCCAGATTGTACATTTGATGTACAATCCCTTTTCAGTCCTGCACTGTAATCAAGCCATAACCATAAGACCTAAGGAAATCTAGAATTTATTTTTTAGATATTCCTATTTGGAAACTTTTTTTGCTTCATATTAAAACTTTCATTTGTTTCTCTTTGTTGTTGTTGTTAAGTACCATCAAGTCAGTTCTGACTCAATAGCGATCCTGTACAGGGTTTCCAAGAAGCAGCTGGTGGGTTTGGACTGCTGACATTGTGATTCACAATCCAGTGCTGATCTTATAGCACCACACCAGAAGTCCTAAGAACATACTTGTTCCTCTTAAGAACTGCTTAAAAATAAAAAGGAAAGAAGAAAATAAATCTTTGTTTCAATCCACACAAAGGAGGAAATTAAGGAATTCATTTTCATAAACTCTCTATTGAAATGAGAAAGTTGAAAATATTAGATAAGACAGCTTTAATTATCAAAGAAATGGTGGTGGTGGTGATGGTGGTTATATGCCATAGAGTCAGTTCTGGCTCACAGCAATCCTGCATAGGGTTTCCGAGACTATAAATCTTTATGGGAGCATAGAGCCTCATCTTTCTCCTGAGGAACTGTTGGTAGTTTCAAACTGCTGACCACGAGATTAGCAGTCCAAATCATAACCACTATGCTGCCAGAGCTCCTTTAAATCAAAGAAATAGATTCAGGTAAATTCAAATTAAGCCTGAAGACATCAAAGTGATTGCAAACTCATAGTGACTCTATAGGACAGAGTAGATTTCTTCCATAGAGTTTACAAGACTGTAACTTTTACAGACACAGACAGCCACGTTTTTCTCCAATGGGTGGTTGATTCAAATCAACAACCTTTCAGTCAGCAGTCGAATGCTTAAGTAATGTGTCATCAAACTCCTTTTCAGATAAGATTAAAGGGATCAAATCATTAAAAAAATCAGGGACACAAATTGATCTAAAGATAAAATGATTTAAAAAATGTATAATTAAGTAATTTAAAATTTTTACAAAGGAGCTGAATTTGGACATGAAATTGGCCTTATTTAATAAAATGTGAGCCAAGTTATTACAAAGGTCACTGTGTTAGAATGCTCAACCCATAGCAATTATTTCTATAATTATTGTCTTAAGAAAACAAATCAGTGGATGTCATGTTGGTGGTGGTGGTTATGTGCCA